TTCTGGATACTATCTCATTTAGTTCTGCCTAAGATCTGCCAAAGTGGCATGATTATACCCATTTTCCAAGGAGTAAATCAAAGTTCAAAGTAGTGAGATGATTTGCCCAAGGTTATACCATCAGTATAAGGCAGAGCCTAGATATAAATCCAAAACCTCTAGCAACAGGTCTCATACTGTGTTCTGTTCTACTCTGCTGCCTCTGATAGACCCCAAATTATTGAGGACTTCTTAAGACTGGGTCAATATAAAGAATCATGAGGGATAGAAACTTCTTTCTTGTTTTAGAAATCACTTTACAAGGAATACAGGTATGCCCTACAAAGAGAGAAACTTACATTTAGACACTTTATTACAAATTTAAGCTGTAGAGAACCTATTTGTTATCTTATGGCTGAAGTTCCAGCAATCTTCTGTTATGCCATTTTCTGTTGAGTGGGACAGTTACACACGTAGTGTTAGCTCGCTGGTCTTTGAACCACTGCCTCTGCTGAATACCAAACTCCTGGACAGTTACTTGGTTGTTTCTCAAGACAACAAGTTCCCCCAAATGCTAGGAGATAAGATCTCAACACCCAAGGAGCAATTCAGTGTAGAGGGAGCAAGGAAGGGAACCAACAGGTTGGAGATCCTGCTTGTTGCCAGACATTCTGCCAGGCAACTTACAACAACCTTCATAGGTAGGTGTCACCCCATTTTACAGGGACAAAACGTAGCCCTAAAATAGTTAAGTAAGTCACTTGGCCAAAGGTACACCAGCTATAGACAAGTATGGACTTGGGGTGACCCCCTGGAAGGTTGACAGATACATGGGAAGTTTTCAATCGTGTTACTTTGGTTTGCTTCAGGTATTATAGAAATACAAAAAAAGTATTACATTAATTTAAAATTATTCCTGTGTTATCAACACAGACAGTCACCCCTTTTAAAAACATGTTTGTAGCTTGCTTTATGCTACACACTTAGGGTGCAGCTTGTGCATGTCTTGGGTCTGCTTCAGAGGTGGCCTGAGTCATTTCCACAGTAGAAGCCCCTTCAGATGTCATATGAGGAGCAAACAATGTGCTACTATGACCACAGACTTCAGCTGGGCCCTTGCTACCCACTATTAGGAAACCCACTATTTTCTCTAATCAATTTGCTTTCCACAACCTGTAATGAGAACCTCAAACACCTGTGCTCTCCCAGCCTGTGAGTCCCTTGGCATCTGCCTTACTTGGCAGAACACACTGCCTTCTCCGCTGCACAAACAAAAGCAGTGTGTATGAACCTCTCAGTCCCATCACTGAGTGACAAGCCCACACTCATCTGCCCTGCCTGCTCCTTCCCAGATTATAGCAGAGATATCTCCCTCCTCCCAGAGAATGCCAACCGAACATCTGAGCTTCAGGATCCTTCTCCAACAAAACTTACTTGCCTGGTTATTCTTTTGTTCTCTCAATATGAAAATATGCAGATGTGTCTACACCTAAAAAACTAAATAAAACAAAACCCTCCCTTGTCTGCACACTCCACGTGTCACCTTCACTGGCAAACATCTGCAGAGTTGTCTATAATGGTCTCCATTCTCCCCTTACATTAACTTCTTGTTTCATTTTAAAATGGCTCCATTTCCATTACTCATTAAAATGGTACTTGTCAATGTCATCAAAGACCTCCAGGGTGAAAAGGACATTTCCAGTGTCAATTGACTCAACGTGCACACAGCATCCAATGCTGCAGGCCACCACACTCCCCTGGTTTCCCGACTTCTCTGGACCCTCTGTTTAGTCTCCTTTTCAGGCTTATCCTCCTCTAGTTGATCCTTTAAATCACAGCTCAAAGCCTTCCCTAATGCTCTTACGTCATTACCCATTATTCACCCTCAAAGTACTGTGGATCCTTCCAGAAAAGGGACTAAGCAGTCACAATTTTGCCTCTACATGTGTTGTATCTCAATACTGTTTAACTTGGAGTAGTTATTTGACAACTCCTCCACTATACTGTACCCTCCTGAAGAAAAGGACTGGGATCTATCTGTCCTTCACTGTGTGCCTGGCACTCAAATGTCTGTTCAACAGGTAAATGGAAAGGGCTCTGCCTCACAGGACAATGGTATTTAACTAGACCAATCAAATTTTGTCCTTCAGAAGCCTAGACAGGGAAGTCCAGATCAAAACAGTCTGGTGAAAGTATGAAGGAAAACTGAGGGGCTTAAAGAGAGGCCTGCAGGCTGAGCAAGTAGCTGTGGTTCTAATGCAGGGACCGAGGCAGGGCTCAGAGCCTCAGGCTGCAGGGCACCATGGTCGCCACACTCCATGGCTGCCTGGGGTTTCAGCCAAGGGCTACCTCTGGGTTCTAGGAAGTTTCAGCCTCTCTCACTACTACTTGTATCCTTGAAACAAACCCCATTCCTTGAGGTAGCTAGAGTGGTGCCACTTTCTTATAGATAACTAAGAGTCTAAATAATATAGGAGCTCCACATGGGGTAGGGGGCAACACCAAAGAAGCAGTTTTTTGTGAATAAGTTGAAAGGCCCAAAGTAGGAGAAATGAAAACATAAGGCACCTTACATAATTTTCCCCAAAATGTCAAGATCTCTTTTGAGGAGATTAGTTGTGTTCTGGAATGATTCCCAAGAACTGTGCCAAAGGCAGCAAACTTTCCTTCACAGAGATAAGGATTAACACTCACTGGAGACCACCAGGCTGCTGTTTCAGGGCTAAAAAAGGTGGCTGTGCACACCACATTTCTGACTTTGAAAAACAATTTATGTTTCTTTGCTTTCTATATGGAGAAATATATCTACGCATATAAATTAAACTAGTTAATTTTCTTTCCAAATTATAACTTAATTAGGGCTTTACAAGACATTAAAAGTTAAATGTGAAATCTACGTTTCAAAGCTAATTTATGATATTCAAACTTAGTCAGATCCCTGAAGGCAAAAAATTCCAATGCTCAACTTATGACTAGATCATTAAACAGAAAAAATTAACTCAGTACTTTCCAACTCTAAACCGGGCAATACCATTTTCCTTACTAAATTTTTTTCATTGTAGTTTGGGATGAAGAGCATAATCTTTGTATTCTGGACAAAATGATGGCTGAGCTGACCCACCAAAACGAAGTTGCTGCCCCATTTTAATTGGCAAGAGAACATGCCGGATTGTGTAGCATAAAGAGGCTCCTTCAGGATCTTCTCTATGTTATATTTTTAGAGTTTTCATTAAATTATGAAGCAAACAATATAAGAAAAAGTCAACATGAAGTAGATTACATCAGCCAACAGAGGACAGATTAGATAGTTTAGTTTTCCTTAGGGAGATAGTAGAGTGTGGTGGAAAGAGCACACCACCACTCAGAGTTAGACCGACTTAGGTTTGAATACTGTCTCTGCCCATTACCAGCCAACAATGAAAATTTATTAACCTCTCTGGACTTGGTGTCCTCCAAATGTGGGCTGATGCTGTGGCATTGAGAAAATTAAGTAAAACAAATTGTTTCCTGATGATGACTAATACATAACAGGCATCCAATACTGCATTCATTAATTGCAATAAATTATTTGGTGAAAAATGAAGGTCAAAATACATTTCTTTAAAAGGTAGAGTCTGCTTTTTTTTTTTTTTTTTTTTTTTTTTTTTTTTTTTTTTTTTTTTT